TTAATGCAATATGTAATTTTTGCTTTTGTGCTTGGGGAAATGCAGCAAGAAATGTGAGTTAACAGATCTTGAAATTGCAAAAACCTTTTTAAAAATTAATCAGCAATAGTGAACATTTTTAAACAATTTGAATTATTCAAGTAAGTTCATGATATATATGAATATAATATTCTCCAACTGACTTTTAAAGACATTCCCTGACAATATATAACGATATATAGAGATTATCCTATATAAGGTTCATGATATTTGGATTATCCCGAGGCCAATCAATATAGTATATCTGCACGAGGTCCGTAGGTCCCGTATGTCTATTATACACCCCCTGTGGTGTCCAGGTCACGTGCCATGTACAACTTTTTGATTTGAATTTAAATAAATTAAAAAGAAGTATCAAATAAAAATAGGTAATAAGTATCAACGATATTCGAACTTAGTAGAGGCATCATCAGATCTAGCAAGATCCAGATGAGTACTCTTGACAAAGATTGTTCCAAAGATTGTACCTTCACCAATTTATAACATATCATAGATCGGATCTTTTTGGAGATATTATATTTTAGATTGATTGTAAGAAATATCTTGGTAGGTCAACTGTACATGTTGCTTGCAATTTTGTCACTCTCAATGGATCTGATTCTACCTTTAACAAACTATCGGATATATTGCATTTGTTCGTTATTTCTTGTTACCTAAACCATCTTGTAATGAGGAGAAGATAATGTTCTTGGTATGACCCCTTGATACATTTTAAGAACACATTAGATTAATATAATCTTAAGTAAAAGCATTGCGTGACACAAGATGTATCCACTGTCTCGTGGTGCGCATCCATGTCAGAACAAGCGAGGATAGAAAGCTATATGTCATAGAAACTCAGATAGTGTTTCCTTTAATAAGCCCACTGTTATCAATAGTCCAAAGATCAGACAAATGCATTAACGCTTATTGCGTTTCGTGTTTCTTTTCCCAGAGAGATTTCAAACATCACATAACGAAATTAATGATCAAAATGCCAATATGAGAGTGCTATAACAAGGCCATTTAGTGAAAGTAGAATTCCCGAGTACAGTATACGGAGTTCGACAGCCCACATCAAAAACCATTTATCCAAAATATAATAGACGCACAACCCGGGCGAACAACCAGCCTTTTTCAGATCCAAGAAGAGAAAATACTCAAAATTACTCAACGATACTCCTCACTCATTTAACCAGGGAAGTGTTATATCTAGAGGAACCCTATTGGTTAGATGAGACAATTTTAGTATCCAGCAAAGATATTTTACAGCATTTCTCTTGAAAATAAACCGGAGTACCAAGAGCTCTTATACTGTCCAAAGCGTATTGATAAGAGCACACATCACATAGTATACCACACAAAAGAAAAAACATTTGTATAAAATGATGTATATTTCTAACTTCTCACTTGGGATATTCATTCACAGTGGCGGATCCGGGGGTTCATGGGGACTCCCCCCCCCCCTTTAGAGAGCCCGGGAATTTTTTTTAGCTTTTGGGCCCCAACATTTTGTTGGGCCTCAGAAAATGGGCCTTTTTGGGCATAACTTGGCCCTTTTTGCCCAATTATCAAAATAGGGCCTTAATTTCTTAAATTTTGGGCCTCATTTTTTGTTTCAGGGACCCAAAAATATTTTCCAAACTCATATTTTGGCCCCCTCCCCCTTGTTAATTTCTGGATTGTATATAATCTGACATAATATTACAGTACTTGTACCAACCATAAGGAATTGAATAATGACAAAGTAAAAGAAATCTGCTCATTTTTTCAACTTATAAGGCGTATGATGCAATAATCACGCCAATTTTTAATTAATGTTGAAGAAATGTGATATATATCTTCTCGTTATATATCATATGGTGTTATCTGTATTTGTTGAATTAATGAATCTATGATTCCCAAAGATGAGTCTGTACACCTGATACGTATTATTTAGTACAGTAAAACCTTTGTAATCCAAATGTCACTCGGACCAGCTGCCGAAAGTGTTCGTGTTAGAAGGTGTTCACTTTTCAAGTTTTTCTGTATGTTAGTCAATGGCAAGTGAAAACTGGGACCAAGAAGAAATGTTCACATTGAGGGATGTTCGGATTTGAGAGAAGTTTTGATATATATGTTTCACTGTATATGATCTGGGTTGGTATCACCTACAAGATCAGGGAGATAGAGTTCTTCTACGAACATGTGGAAGTACAAGTAGATGAGATAATCAATTATAACGTTGGTACAACAGAAGTCATTGGCCCACGTTTTAGGTGTCATTGGCCCCTTCTCATTGGCCCTGTGTGTCCATTTTGACCCAGATCTTGTATCACCTGATGGAGGCAGGAAACTAATGGAAGGACGGACAATATCATATTATGAGCACAAGTACCATCTATCCCATCTACAGTAGGTTACAAATAAATGAACTTACATGCGATTGCTTTGCATAAATGTAAAGATTCTTTTGATAACATTGGTGTTCAAATCCTGCTAGTCGTATTTTGTAATTTACTTTCGATTGTATAATGAGACAAAGTGTCTGTAATCTTCATATTCTAATAACATATTATGATACTGTAATATGGCAGAATAATGAGCAAAATGAGAGAAGTGGAAACTACTATAGTCTAGAGGGTCGCTTTACTAATTGCTCTAATTTGAAGATGTCATTTTTATGATAGGGTATTACAGGAACAGACATATTATGAAAACATCGTTGTTTTAGTTCTTTTAATGCATTGTTGGCACGCAGGTATTTACTCAATACAATACTGCAATAGGACATGAGATAGACTGAGAGGATTATTCTTAAAACTTATTATGTACCAACAAACCAAACTGAGATTATTGTCCTCGGGGAATGTTGGTCCTAAAGCCCGACTCTTAATTTTAGGCCTTATTTTTAATTTTAGACCAGATTTTTGAGAAAATGGGCCTAAAAATTCCAAATATTGAAAGTTTTTTTTCTCTGACTTGAAATTTGCCCCTCCCCCTTGTTGGTTCCCAGACCCGCCCCGTCACAAATAAAGAATACACGTTCCAGACGCTACATTATTAATATAAATAGGGACATGTTGCTGGCGGACAAAAAGTTACAAAAGTTACCCTATGTTGGATCGAGTTTAAAAACTTGTTTATGTTTGAATGTTTCCCCTCAATAGAACGGATAATTACTTTGACGAATCTTTGAAAATCGCCAAATATAAACATGGAAGAATTGGAGTCACAAAACATTTGGAGGAAATTGTATGCTGTATGGCTGGGTTTGGTATTTATTTAGCTTGTTCCAAATGTTACAATGGAAATAGGAAACTCGAGACAACGTGTAGGTGTTTCAACAAAATGTCACTGTGCGGGGAGGTTAATTCCCCGAATGGAATGGTTTTGATTATTTCTGAATTTGTCAAAAAATGTTTATTTCCTTTAAAAAGAAACAAGAGTGAATATACAAAATGAACAAGCCCTTATATCTAGCTCACCCATAACTAGCTCACATATAGCTAGCTCACCCATAGCTAGCTCACATATAGCTAGCTCCCTGATAGATATCTATAGTAGCTCACATATAGTTACATCCCTATGGCAACCAGATGTTTTATTTCGACAGATTACTAAAACCTGCAAACATTTTAATATTAATTTTGCTCTTTAATCACAATAGGATTTACGACAAATTTGATTTGTTTTGAAAATCTCCAGAAAGGCTTATTTGATCGCTTTATAACATGTTATGTTTCCACCATACTGTAGCCTATTTAGAATAAGTGTGGTAACTTTGTTAAAAGATGGCAGCATGTATCAATAATGCAGAGGAATTGACGTTTATCTCAAGAGGGGGAGAAACCCCAGGGTTCAAAGATGACATACGCTTATAATGTAAATCTGTATTGAGATGACATCGTCGCTGATTGGTTTAGCGAGTCGATCGTTGATTGGTTTAAATCTAGGTCAATTTGAAAACTTTAAAAACCAAGATGGAGGGTACGTTTTCGACAAAAGGAGGTGTGCGAAGGAGGAAATCTTATGTCATCAATTGAATCATGGGGTTTTCCCTCCTCTTGTTTATCTCCATTAATGTTATAAACGTGAACATAATTGACATCTATCAATGAAAAATTAGATTAAAAATGCAAGACTAAAGCAAAAAATATGAACTCAGAAATAAGAACTCATTTAATCAATACGACTGGCCATCAGACGAGGATGTCCACAGAGTTGCATCTTGTCCTTTGCTACACACGGGTTGTCATAGATTATGAGCAAAAAGTATAGATGCATTGTTCGAGTCTAGACATTGTAGTTTACAATACAACATGTACTACTAGCCTATACTGAAGTATGCTACATCTCTTCACAAATTACTTTCATTCTCGACAATGGTTCTCAATATATTTTATTCCCCACTTAATTTGCTTGTTTGCGTAACGTACTTCAGAGTGTTGACTGAGTGGTCCACAATTCGTAAAAAGGTCGTGGTGTGGACTTCATGACTACGGTATGGGTGCACATAAAAGAAAACAGGGCTCCTCCAAGGAGGGGTTTCTGGGTCTGCCTTCCATGATTATATGCGCTTATTACGACCGTATATATACGGGATATACCCAAGTGGTATTGCTCACCTTCATTTACTGTGAGGGATTCAATATGGGTTTTATTCCGAGGGACGATATGATATTTCTCGAGGGCCAGGAGGACCAGAAAGAAATGTCATATTGTCACGAGGAATAAACCCAGATTGAATTCCGACCAGTAAATAAGCTTTTTGTCCCATGATATTTATTACTCTCTTCATAAAATCATTTGTTCAATATCCATATCTGATATCCCCTCCGAACCAATATTTTCTGTATTGCTACGGATGGGACAATGGGACAATCTCAGTAGCAATACAAATTGGTACAGCACAAGAACTGACCCATCAGATGACATCATTTTACAGATCATACGATAAAATACAATACAATTTAGAAAAATATGTAATTCCGACTATAATATTTTAGAAAGACTCTTGTTTTTTATTGTAAACTTGGCAGTACTTTAATTGATAAATAACAAACATCCTTTTAAGTTGAACTTTGGTGAACGTAGGCATCATCATTCGCAAACACTTAAGGTGTATCTAAGCAGTCGGTATCATCCTGGCCTCGGTCGGGCAGTTGAACGCACACTGCATTCGTTGCCTGTCTGAACCCTTCCTCGTAGACAATACCATTACCTTAAATTATATAATCACCATTTATCAAAAACTCATGAAATAATTCTATTCAAGCTAAAATTTAAAATCAAATATATTTCACCGTGGTGTATTCTCGAGCGGTGCAAATATTGTTTTGTTGAATGGGAGGGTGCTGTATTTCTCTAGCTGCAGAACAGGCAGTGATTGCTATAATTTAGTTTGCTATAATCTAGTTTTATTTATCTTATTTTCTATCTTGTAATGATTGAAATATCGTGCCACTCAGATTCTTCAAATGATGCCATGATTATAGAAAACATGGGATAAGTATTACCAGTAGTGTCAGCTCTATTGAAGAGGACTCTTATATCACTTATTGTGATGACAGTCGAATCTGAGTCGGGATCGGCGCTTGCGGTCAACTGGCAGAGAGCTTGGGTATCTCTTTCGGTTAGGCATGTTGCAACGTCCAATCCGGTGGTGCAGACTCCATCGGCAAGTGGAATAGAATCTCCATTTGGTGAAACCACTAAAATAGATCGCGCTATTATGATAAAGCTGAAGGCCTAGCTAACATTTTCATTTAAAAAACTAGCTGAAACTACATTGCATAATTCCGACTAATTTGGGTATGACCTTTTTGAATGAATGAACAAAAAAATCTTAAAAATGAATGGCGCAATTTTCGCCATGATTAAGTCACGCGTGTAAGTAACAAAAAGAAATGTTTATAAAATTTGTTCAAGTCCTCGGGGAAAAATAAACCCCAATGTAAAAACTACGACCCAACGTCACACACAAAGAAACAAAGATCGATCATCGACTCTTCTTGAGCATTCATAAATGGGAGAGCACCAGTGCACAACAACCGAAAATGGCCGAGCGAATTCCAATTCTGCTTCGGTTATCTTCGGGCATTTTCGGTCGTGGTCGAAACATCGTTACCCATTCATGATTATTATCACAAAACAACTAAAACCATTAATAACCATGAGACTTTACATAACGATAATTTTTTGAAAAATGTTATTGAAAAACATGACATACGTGTTGCCAAGTCGAGGAAATCTTCCCGAACGTCCTCCCATGTTATTGTTCCATTTTCACTCATGTCATTCCATAGTAAAGTCAGGTTGGCTCTGCATTCGTCTTGTCTAATGAAATATTGAATGGACTATAGCCATCGACATGATTATGTTTTTGTCGAACCGCAGCCCATAATTTGTATCGTGAATTAAAATTCATGAATTCATTGGTAAAACAGAGAAAAATCAATCGAAATTCATGAATTATAGTTCCCAATATTTTGGGAAAATAGACATTCAAAACCTCGTTTTCATTTATTCCCATGGGCCATCTTCCACCTTTGGAAGTATACACCGAAACCTTGATGATGCTAGATGGAAGATTTCCTGATAAGATTGGTTAACATTGATGAATTTTAGGTGTTGTACAAAAGCATGTATTCTTTCATTTTTTATAATATGCATTATGTTTTCTACATTTTTTTAAATCAAATTCATTTTGTTATAAAATTTTAGACCACGTTCTGGTGATCAGTAGCCGTGTCATAATGAATAAAATAAATTTGAAATATTAAGTTGAAAAATCTTGGAAATTCCCTGAAAACCATTGTAAAGGATTGTTAATTGAACAATATCTTGATGAAGAATTCTGAAATGCAGCCCATCCAATGTTGAACTATGATAAATACAATTAGAACCTTGGCTAAATTACAAGAAATCAATGGATGAACCCCCTTTCTGCAACAGAAGCACCGATTCTATAAACAGAGCTATGATGTGATAAAAAGAAATTTCTAAATACGTATACCAAATTATTCAAGAAAAACGTTTAAAGCACTTACGCAGAAATGCAGACGACAAGCGCCAATACACAAATGATTTGTTTCATCATCTTTGATCGTTGATATAAGTTCACCGTGAGAGAAGTGTATGAAACTTATAACTTCCATGTTTTATATCACAATTCTGAAATCATGTCCTTGAATTTTGAACCCGTTATAAAAGAATTTATATAAACGTTATATAAACAACAAAAAGGCACTCCTAAATGAACTATTAAACTCAAATTAGAGTTACAAAATTCATTTTTAACAGCACATGTTTTTATTCCACGCCATTCGTGGCACCGCTCGGTTATAAACCAATGTGTTCCTACTTTGTAGGACCAAGAAGTGCAGGGGAGTAACCTTGATCAAAAAGATGGGAATTTCAAAGGGGAGCCAAGTTTAGGGGTTTACGTTTTTTACTGAAACAACTTAACATTTATGAGGTGGCTTCGTTTATGACTGATATACCGATATATTTGGCAAACACCATCGCGCAAACAAAACAACGTAACTTTGCACCGCTTGGGCAACCGTAAATTCATCTGGGGACAGCTCGTTATGAGATACATTCCAAAATTTTACTGTAAGTTTGAAAAATATGCTCTTTGAGTGACCCAACATTAAACATGAAACAAGTTGTTTTTGGTCCAGACGAGCATGTGAAAAGAACAGTTGTGTTCGTGTGTCTCCTTGGCCTCTGCGCATGCTCGATTGAGGTTCCCACTTATTAAAAAATATACCGTTTTCATCGTTATTGTGCACCAGTTGCTTTAGTAACAGCCAATAACTCCAAACCTAATAAAAGGAACTGCGTCAAAAAAATTCGTACATGCTTTTTTAGAAGATTTGTCATTTATTGTTATAGTGCATCTATCTTTGCACTTACACTATGGATTCATCTTAAATGGAACCAGTGCTACTTAAGTACAAATGATGTACGAAATGTTGTATGTACAGGATGTTGCCCAAGGAATCGAAACCGTGCTTTGGGGAAACAGATTTTCTTGTTTTACTTTATTGGATCTTGTAACTATACCTGTATATATAAGAACAAGAAAAGTAAATAGGATTGGGAAAAGACCTTTATTAGATTTTGTATTTTTCCAGTCCCTTTTTGAGACAATGTTTGTTGTTGTGTGTACGCAATGACTATTGGGACACCATGTACAAAAAGTACAAATAAATCGCCAGTGAGAAATATATTAATTCTATTTGAAATAATAGATTTACAATACTTTGTCAACCTATGTTGCTAAATAAAGCTCTCATTTCATCGCTTTTACAAAGTTCACTCGCTGCTTTTTGTTTTCTGTTTTTGCAACTTGTATCACAGTCTCTTTCGAGTAACAGTTTAGTCATTTCTAAATGGTTCTGCATCACTGCTATATGCAATGAAGTGCACCCATTTGTATCTTTGAGGTCAATGTTTGCACCAGCGTTCAATAATATCGCAGCAGATTCGACAGAGTTTTTAGCAACTGCAGCGTGTAACGGCGTCTTTCCAAATGATCCTCTTTGATCTGGTTCTGCTCCTCTTGTGATCAAAAGCTTTACGACATCACAATGGTCATGCTCTGCTGCTATATGCAATGGTGTGGAGTACTCCCCCAGCACTGTCATGCCCAATATATTCGCTTTCGCACCTTTGTCCAAAAGCTCTCTAACGACTTTGAAACTCCCTCTCCAAGCTGCGAAGTGAAGGGGTGTGAAGCAGTACTGGTCATTGATATTGACATCTGCGCCTCTTTGCATCAGGACGGAGCAACCCAAACTATGCTCTGTTTGTGACGCAAGAATCAAAGGTGATTTATCGCAGTTAGTGATTGCATCGATGTTAGAACCTTTGTCCATAAGCATACGTAGAATATCTACGTTCCCCATATATGCCGCATTATGAAGAGCAAGTTCGCCAATGTAGTTAGGTATCGTGAAGTCGGCATTTTTCAACAGTAGCATCTTGGTTGTTTGTACGCTATTCTCAAGTGCGGCATAATGTAGTGGAGTTTGACCAGCTTTGTTCTTATCATTGATACGGGCACCTCTCTCTATGAGAAGCTTGGCTGTTGCAGTGTGGTCGCCAACAGCCGCCATGTGCAAAGCAGTGTTTCCATCGCCATCTTTCAAATTGACCTTGACCCTATGATCCAACAACATATTCACCATAAGAGTATGTCCTTGTTTTGCTGCTGCGTGGATCGCAGGTTTGCCCTTGTTCCAGTTCACTTCACTTCCTAACATTATCAACAGCATAGCGGTTGGGATCTTATTATTTTGGGCAGCTTTTGTCAGTGGCGTTTCACCGACTCCAATTTTGTTCATTTGATTCACCAAAGCACCTTCCTCGATCAATAACTGTGATAGACCGGGATTGCCATTCTCTGCCGACCAGTGTAAAGCTGAGTCACCATGGCGATCGGTTGCGTGGATGTTGGCCCCGTGTTGCAGGAGCATATTCGCTGTTTGGATCTCATTTCCACTAGCCGCGGAGTGCAGTGGAGTCCAACCATACCTACAATGAATATAATACGTGACATAAGTTTATTTTTAAGGAAATAATCAGTTGTATTTTATCTTATTTGCAATAATACAGTTCAATCCATGGGTCTATGAATAGGAAATTCAGCTGTATTGACTTATATTGTAGTCTTGCCTCAATACCCTGGACTCTCCCCCCCTTATCTACTTCAACAACAGGTAACTGAAGTACAATGAATATGATACACATGAGTGCTTTTTATGGAAATATTTAGTTGTGTTTTATTTTATTCGCAACAACATTCAATCCATGGGACATGCTTTCAAAACCTCTAATGCTTCTTCAAGCCTCGACTCCGCCCCCCCCCCTCCATTATTACAACAGGTTGTTGTGGTAAGTGGAGGGGGAGTAGACTACTAATGTTGATGCAGATAACCAAACTATCGATCAACGCAATTAAGGTATTGTTGCTATCTATACATTTGAGTATTCTAAACCACTGTCAAACTTACTTGTTCACTCCATTTACACCTGCTCCAAACTCAATCATCAAACGCAGTAGGTTTGCCTCGCCATGCAGGGCAGCAGCATGGACTGGACTCTCACCATCCACCGATAGATGATTCAACGCCCCCAGCACCAACCGTCGTGGTCTGTGCTGGAATATCCTCAATACAGTCGCTTCGTCTCGCCTCCAGATCGCCCTCTCTATGTCCGTCGCTAGGGTTTCCAAATCATCCTCTGGTAATTCATCAGTTTTCTCCGCAATTCTTGCTAAAAGTGTATCCATGTTTTGTTTATAAGTATAGATCTATAGTATGTCCGTATCAATCTCTAACTCTAGTAATATCACCTAGAAGCAGTCTCATTAATACTAGAACGTATGGTATTTAATGGTGAAGTCTGTATCCAAAACATTTCCCCTGATATGGATTGTTGTTCAGTCTGTCTGATTTATAGTTCCAATTATAACGTTTATTGTTCCTCACGAAAGATTAATTGATTAACCCTCCGCTTTAATCGTACATTCAATAATTATCCACAATTACATGAAACCCATTAGGGATAACTTTCAGTTTTCCTCTTCTCTACTTAACGATCGAGATCACAAACTATGGCACGGAGATTCATTATAAGTAATGTAAAATCTCGTGTTAGAACTTGGAGAAAAGCCTGTTTATATTTGTCATTGGCTTTACGCGTTTCAATAGAACCTTTTCAATGGTTTTGAGTATATTTGATAATACAATCATTTAGCAAATACGAGTATGTTCAATAATGTTAGGGTTCCGAAATTCAAGGTGGACTGACAATTGTTGAAACTTCTGGAATTATTACTTTCAAGAATTCAACAATGAGCAAATTAAGCGTTATGATTTAGTTGAAACTATGTGAAACGTGCAAGTCCAGTGGAACTTTTTATGGAAATAATTGTATTATAATTTACACGTACGTGTATAATATTATTACAATGCTATGAAATATTAAATACATTGTTACAACAAAATGAGCCTACATACGGGTATATTTCGTATTTGTTTTTAATATACTAGTATATAGACTCAAAACAGTCTGCTTGCACTATTTTGTTTATAATTTAATGTTTTGAACTCATTCCCCCTAAAAACGTTGATCAATTGCCAACATGGCTACCAAGTAGGGCATAACACACGTAGTTTTAAGTGTACAATTAATATTGGAAGAGTTGCTAGTATTAGCAGTGGTGCAAAGTAAATACAACAAAAAGTTTAATATTACAAAAAGATATACGATAACATTTAGAACGTGTGTCGATCGAGACAGGGGAGAACTTAAAGTGCTACGGACTTTCAACGCAAACAAACAAACAAATAACTGAATAATGTCAGACATAGTGTAAATGTATGCTAGTACACAGCAGCAAAGTTGAGAAGAGGAACACAAGGTCACATTGGTATATCATGATATGTATTTATATATATGTTCATCTCTGATAAGAGTAAAAACTTGATGTAAAAACGAAAAACCATGGAGCACTTTAATACCTATTTTTAACGATGTGTCATGCTAACTTAAGTTTGATAAAAGTTTTCAGGTACAAACAAAAGTCCGAAGTCTGTGTATTATCACAAGAGTAGTCATCGTAAGATGTTCAAAACATGTTGAATCATGATTAAAGGCTGAATATTGGCCTGGATGCGTTCAAAACACAGGACTTAATAATCACAAATGGATTAGTAAACTGTTTAATGAGATCATATACTTACACCTAGTGTGCATATATACCACTGGAACATGTAACATTGACACTTTGAATCATGTTAAGCAAACTAAAACAAACCTCAAGAAAAGTGAAATCTAAACATGTTGTCAAGTACAAGGAAGATGATGGTGTTGTACTTGTCCATGACGATGGAAACATCGCTAAACACGAAGACAGTTGGGCGGATGATATCAGTAGTAGCGATGAAGAGGATGGTAACGTTGATGTGAGACTTCGAGGTGACTCCAACCCTACACCTTCACACAATGATATACATGGTGTAAAAAACAATGAACAATGCCCATCGAATGTCACTAAAGGACATATAGTGTCTTGCCAACGGTGTCAGGAACAGAAAACTCAAAAGAAAGTTCTGAAGAAAAAGAAGAGAAAGGCATTTAGGAAGAAAGTGAGTAGATCGCATCATACATCAACACAGCAATTACATGACACCTGTCTGTGTGTACTTATACAGGGTGGGCCAAAAAAAACCAATACCCAACTTCAAATCAGGATAAAAATACTTATGTTCAATATGATACATTGACTTATATATCATTTTAAAGGTAACACATTTTCAAACAATTTGGTATATAACACTATGACATAAAATCAATAGTAAAGGTGTATTATACTTATTTGGGAGGCTGGGTCGCTATTTAAGGTCTCTAGATTTTAGGGAGAAAACGGTAAATCTGTGGAATTATGTAAACTTTTTATTCATAGAATATCATTTTGTTAGGTGAATACATGCGTGTTTATTTGCATCAATGTGTGACTAAACTTATTGTTTATGAATTTCAGTGTTGTTTAATAACATTTTACAATTTATTTATTTAAACAATTGCTTAATATGCCCCCCCCCCCCTATGCGTCAACAATAAGCCTCAAGCGGTAGCGCCATCTATCAACAGATTACTGTTGCAATACATTTCGGCAATTAGGATTCTGCGGTTCAGCTAATCACTACTTTTTATTGGATGCTTGTGACTGTACACCATTTCCTGGACCCATTACCATACATGGAGATGGCTCCATGTATGGTAATCCACCACATTAGCATCGGGCTGCTGGGTGGCCAAGCATCTGAATCAGTCAAATTGACAACTTGTTCGTGAAGGAATGCCAATGTCACCTTTGATCTATGGGACAAGGCACTGTCTTATTGAAAAATACCCCAACCAACCACATATACGTTTTATGTCTTTTAACATACCTCTTTTGAGTACTTATTGATAGTAATCAATACTGAAATTAATAAACAATAAGTTAAGTCACAAATGATGCAAATATACAAGCTTGTATTCAACTAACAAAATGATATTCCATGAATAAAAAGTTTGCATAATTTCAAAGATTTACTGTTTTCTCCCCAAAATCTAGAGACCTTAAATAGCGACCCAGCCTCCCAAATAAGTATAATACACCTTTACTACTGATTTTATGTCATAGTGTTATATACCAAATTGTTTGAAAATGTATTACCTTTAAAATGATATATAAGTCAATGTACCACATTGAACGTAACTATTTTTATCCTGATTTAAAGTTGGGTATTGGTTTTTTTTGGCCCACCCTGTATATATTATAATGAGTTTTTTAATGTATAAACTGATCAAAGTTCAAGCTAGTATATTGTGTGCATGCTGTATTTTATCCTGAATGATTAATCTTTGCTGCTATTTTTCAGGCATGGAAAAGAGTACGGAGAGGGGCAATTTGGACATGGAAGGGCATCAAACTTACGCTGATTCAATGGAGCTCAGCCATTCCACATGGACTACCAATATACGAGACATCTTAGACAATATTTTTTTTGTAAATTGTCGAACTTTTAAACTAGTCTGTTTTTCTGAAGATTGTGTCATCTCCATTTTCTCAACGCAGGGCTCTCCAGCTCGAAGAGTACCTTCGCTCGGAGTATGATTCCCAGCTCATACAGATTACCCAGTCCATAGCCTGGATTCAATATCGATAAAGATAGGCAAACACTCCCAGACTACTTTAAGCCAAATTAGGGCCAGTTAGATTTATTTAAAAGAGTGAAGCGAAATCTGTTACACTGAACTATCCCTTGTTCGAGATAATATTATGGGTAACTATGTTGATTTTAGGCTTGGGCTGCTTTAAAGTCAAATTCTCTGCCTCATTCCAATATTCCTTCCAAAAACAATTGAGAATTTCAGATACAATGAAATCAAGCTCTGCCAATATGGACGTCATTGCACATGTATATCAAATGACTGTATATATTAAATCCTAAGAGTTTATTTTAATAAATGTACAATAACATATTGAACATTTTGTTGTTTCAAAGTGGCCTTACTTAGGCCTTACTCGAGTCTCTAGCCAATTCTTCCACACTCAGTGGCCATATTAGAATATGGTAACTTACATTGTAGGCCTATTCCAATTGGCTTGTCTGTATGACTGTATGCCGAGTGTTATTCTCACCATGACCGCTGTGAGCTTGACAAATTCAAAGTAAAGTAAAGTTAATTACAAAGATGCAGGCAAGATTCTTTTGTAGTTAGATTACTAGCTCAATCATTGCATGCAGTGGCCTAATAAGGAAGTGTACAAAACGGATTGTCATATTAATTAACTAAAATTTATTATCAATTATTCAACAAATTTACTAATTAAATTATCTGCTACACATATACATAATTCAATTCAAAGTATATAATAATGGAGAAGTTCCTGGATGATCAATTTCCATCCTCACAACAGTGCCCTCTATAAGTAAACTGTATATACTAACTAACATATATTATAAACCTAATCAGAGAGGATCTACATGTAATTACATGTTTACCAATCATTTTGCAACAAACTGTTCCTCAGTGGTGTAGTTTAGTTGCAATGTCTATCTTCAGTTTTAATAACATGCGATTACAGGTATTTAATAGTAAAATATTATCCTACACTTAGTGTACTAAATGTATAACATTAAAAAATAAATTTGATATCTACGATTGGCAAAATGAATACCCGGAGGATATCGCAACTGTATACAGGGTGTCCAAAAAAACAGGACCGTAAGAAAGTTGAATAGCTCAGTCAATTTTACAAATTTTGCCTTGGAAATTTTAGAATTATTTAGTTCATTCAATGTGAATTTTGTTCTGAAGGTTTGATGATAATCTGTTTATTGTGTCAAAAACTACAGTACTTTACAAAACATGCTCAAAGTGGGCACTTCTCCTCTCTATGCACAAACGAATCCTGGGAACAAAGTTGTTAATGACCCTGACCTACACATTAATGTGGATGGTAAATATTGGGGTAGTTATTGCCCTCTTAAGATTGTTAGGGGCCTGTCAGTATACACATTGGCTTTGAGAAATCCTCAAAGATAAAAATTTGGGGGATTTAGATCTGGCGAATGAGCTGCCCATATGGTTCTGCAACTGATGAGCTGACCACCAGAGCATTGCCTAAACCATTTTAGCATATCATTTGCAGTGTTGGGGTGGTATTGGCTTGCTGAAACCACTGCTGAACTCCTTAGAATTCCCTTCTGGTGCTTAGTGACCTCCAAAACTTAGTGAGAACTTACTGGTCCTTGTTCATAGTGATAGCACGTCCCCAGTCACCTTCGAACCAAAAAGGACTGATGATTCCACGTTTCCTCATTGCCACCCAGGCAGTACATTGTTCAGAATGCAATGGATGCTGTAACACTTCATCAGGAGGATATAAGCCCCAGTAGCAATTGTTCTTGGAACAAACTTGTCCATTCAGAGACATTTGTGTAGGAGGATCATCAACAACTTTGTTCGTCGGATTGAATTGTGCATATAGAGGAGAGGTGCACATTTGGGGCATGTTTAGTAAGGAGCTGTAGTTTTTGACTTAATCGGTAGATTATTATCCATCTTTTACAACAAAATTCACATTGAATGAACACTAAATAATTCTGAAATTTCAAGGCAAAATATGTAAAATTGACCGAGTTATTCAACTTTCTTACAGTCATGTTTTTTGGACACCCTGTATACTCCGGGAAACCAGTATGAGGAAGATATTGTGATGATAAACTCCGCTTGTTGATTTAACGCCAAATTGAAATTTAATTTTCAATGATATTATACATTTAGTACACTACTAGTAAGTGTAGGAAAATAAGAACATCCTATGATTTTTTCGGAAAATCATTTTAATCAACTCGGTGATATTGATATATGCACTCGTTGGCTTTGCTCTCTCGTTCAGATATCAATATCACCTCGTAGATAAAAATGATATTCCTCAAAATCACAGTTTTTATCCCATGGTTGCAAATCATAAATCGACTATGACGTGGCGATACATGTGATTCGCAGATCAAGATATATTTCAGCAGAAAAATCCCAAACCATTGAATATAAGTTCTTGCATATTGTTATGGTAACACACATTTTATTCACTTGACTAGTATTATGTACATCAGAACATAAATCTAACATCAAGTATCCATTTGAGAAGAATAAGAGAAACCTTTTGGATAAAAAAAACATAACACTTAAGAGCCTAATAGTGTTAATATTCTTGAGTAGATTACTTTTATCTTCTGAGCTATGTATTGGCAACCATAGAAACATCATACATTGATATTTTTATTTTCGTCATAGCGATTTTTATAAAAACACTTTTTTTCATTTTCATTATATAACAATGCCATTTACTTTCTAATTACCTCTAAAGTACAGACACATTGAAAACAACAAAAAACTTACAGCTTATTCCCTGTTTGTAAATCTCTTTTCACTACATATCTATACAAATATTTTACAAATAAAATTATAAATCATTGCACTCAATGTCACTATAAATATCATATTTATATAGCTTAATTAAAATCTAAAATGTATTACATACAATGTATACTTAGTGTATAGATGTATAAAAACTTATTTAAAGCCATAATCAGGAGCTCACTTTTCAACTCTCATTGCACTGTTGTAGTAAGAAGCCATAATGGTTGCCATGAAAGATTTAAAACATGTCATGAGCTGCATATAAATACAAAAAGGACACATCCCATGGTAGTTTTCATCCCAGATGACAGTCATAGAAACGACTGTGAAGAATTTTATCTTAGCAATCAACACAATGTAAATATAATTGCACCAAGCAAACTGCATTTCATTAAGTGTTTTCATGAACAATGAAGTACATGTAATATCAGTAAGTTTAACATCAATATTTAAAGCCTCGATCCTGTAAAGCTTTTGTAAACAGTATAGTTTCAGTAACCCTAAGAAGTGTCATATGTCCTTAAGTATTTTTATTATTTATTGAGCATTATCATATGTATAAATGTTCATCTGAGTAGAAAAGTGATATGTCTATGATAAAGAGTTTTGACTTCCAGAAATAACAGGTTTCATCTGTTTATCTAAATTGATAGAGGTACATATATTCTGCTTTCTCTACACCCTTCACCTGATTAAGCATATTGTCCCTCTACATTGTGTGGCATTTCATGATGATTATTATTGTAAACAGCTGGGGTATGAAAACATGAAACATGGAATACTGCATTCTTCTGCCAGAGCTAGTGGGTCCTGGAAGAATAAAAACAAAATGACATAATACATGTACATAATGTCTAAATATTTTCACTAATAGGACAAGTCTCCAAGAAACTCCTTATGAATCAATACAATTTGACTATATTGTCTCTACATATATGTATCAATCCTTTTTTCTGTAGTACATTATATCAGCTGCAAATACAGTATCAGTATATTTCAAAAAGCTTCAACATTTTAGACGGATCCAGGTTTATAACACCCAAATTAAGGAATAGGGATTGAAAATAGCTTTATTTTATTCCTGATGATAACTGGCAATTACATATTGAACTGGATATTGAATTTGATCTGTACCGCATCATTCAAATGATACATCTTGCACATCTTTTTCAAACTGTGTCCCAAATACTTTTGGGGTGTTCCCATCTTATTTGGCCAAAAGTGCATTTTGTCTTATAATTTGGTTCACTTGATTATGTTAAAATCAGTTGCATGCAAATCAAGACAATTCTGCCCAAGGAGACACAAATATAAGGTCAATGCCCAAGTTGGGGAAAGACAAAAGGCATTCCTCCATACAAATTGGAGCAGTTTCAAGAATTTTAATAATATTAAAGTTCATAGAAGTGTAAAAACAGGGCTGTCCCATCATTTCCAAATAAAAAATTTTAGTAAAAGAAACATAGTCCATGTTCACTGACTGCTAGTGTTTAAGATTTTAGTAGTGTTTTTCTCACTAAAACATTTTCCTACTAAAAGGTGATGTCATGACCTGAAATCCTAATATTTTGAATATGCCCTAATTAGCTGGTATAATACTATCAATTTATGAAAAATAACAATATTTAAATTACACAATCCCATTTGTCATACAATATATGCTATTCAGTTTTAGAGGCTATGTAAGCAGTAATCTTTTTGACCAGATATGGTATCTCCAATGTCAGCATATACTGCCAGAACCACCCCCCCCTGGAATATTTGAAATTCTGTACCAACACCTTGGAAAAAGGTGGGTGTCTATATTACCTATAATACTTAATGAAAACTATTGATGGCCTTGATAAAACACAAGAGACAAGGAAGTTGAAGGTTGTAAGTAAAAATATAGATTTATTCATTGTCTTATTCTTGTGACTCAAACTATGTGAGTGGTTACAAAGTAAATAACGTCCATATAAAGTTATAGTCAGCAGTGTATTGTATATAAAGGTTCTACAAGAATGTAAAAATACAAAATTCTATAATACAAGTGCTTTAAGGTTACAAATACTGTTTCTTTATCGTGACCACTATCATGGCACTGCGAATCTATTTCATTATAGAGTGTATATGTTCTATGGACTACTTTAACCCTTTGCCACTGTTTAGATGTTTAAATGTTTAAGCATTTTTATACAAATACAATACAGGATTTATTGTATATGATTTATATATGACATTGCTTGGAACGTTTGCTGTTCCTGGTCAAACCTTGTATCAATGACAATGTGTATCTGTGTAATCAGATGGTCTCATATATACTCTACATGTATAATAAAGCATTGTGTTGATAATGTTATGTACCCATACCATAATAAGGTCTCATACATACTGTAAATGTGTAATTTGTCAGATAATATAATTCAATGTTTTTATCAAATGTAAATGTAAAAATATATATGTTCAGCATTATTTTCAAGCAGTAGTGTAAACTGTATATCCATATGTGCTCATCACAATTGCTAAACTGTCAAACAGTGGAGTCTTGTCATCAGCCATTTCTACCAACACCTGCAACATAAATGCAAATAAAAGATATGTGGTTCAACTTTGAGGCATGGTGTCAGACCCTTTTGCACTAATTAATTCTTGCTTTAAAATGTAATGTCAAAAAGACCTGGTTCAAACCTTTTATGAACCCCTTGTTTATTGATTACACTTTTAAATGTATATTTAATATTAATTATGTAACCTCACAGCTGAACATACACTAGATAAAGGATTATGCAATATATGTCACCTCAATGTATGGGAAGACACAATGCTCCCCACGATCTCTGAAGAAAGCCCCACTGCTAAGCTGGAGCTTACAGCTGATGCCTTCACCAGCCTTTATAGGAATCCTGTACTGGATCTCACCATTGAAATCAGTCTCCCTGAAATACATTTACATTCAAATAAAATCATCCTTTGTTTTATGGAGGTAATGTGAAGATAAATCCCTGACTTTGAGTAATGAGATTTGTGTAATAATGTTTGACTTACTCTTGACCCAGATCTACAGTTCCCGTAGTGGCTGTGTAGTAACATGAAGTTATGACTGTCAGCTCTTGAGCTGCAGAACCACTTAAGGCATTATTCACTGTGAGCTGTACATTATGGTACATCGTTGGAGGGACTGCAGATGGATTTTCGGGTGGTATTGGTGTAGTTGTAGTAGGGCCTTGAAAGTAGTTAACAAGTTAACACAAACTGCAAATAGTTTTAGTTCTTTTGTGAAGAGTTACATTTGTACAAAGTTGTATCAGATAATAATTCTTATGTTAAATGGATAATATATACCCATAGAATTATTGTAACACATCAGTATTAGAAATGATCAGTATATAGCATCCAAGGGTGTGATAAAAAGGTAAGTTCTAACCTGACTGCAAACGTTCGTAATAGGTAATATCATCATGGTTCCCCAAGCCTGATCTCAACCTAGGATCATGTTGGTTTGTATCTGCAAGGATGCATTCATTGTGTGATGTCACATAATCCACAGACTGGCAGTTCATGCTGGAAATTTCTACACAAAGTTTTAGACAATCTTCAAGGCTCAGACGATATTCCGTAACATCATTATATCCTGGGAGGTACTGCCCAGGGTAGGCCCTCCAGTGTTCACCCGCAATATAGACATCTGTAATGGTTGGCTTTGTTGTTATTGGGGGACTCTTTCTAGTCGTGGATTTATCTGAAAGTAATTAGGAAATAAAATGATTGCAATGGAGTTTCTTACTGATGCAATAATTCAGTTACTAAGAAATCACATAATATATACATTATTGAGCATATAGTAAAATGATGTTTCATAAATCATAAAATCAAAAATTTAATGATGAAAATATCCTAAACATCTACCACTTGAATCATCTTGGAAGGTGATTGTAATGTCATCAATGGCTATATCTCCTTTCCAGCTGGCACCTCTGACTACTTCAAAAACTATCTCTAAGTTGCTAACACTTGCCTCCAGTGGGAACTTTGCATAGCGCCATTGTGTGTTGTCCTGGGCACCTGAAACCAAGCACCAGAAATATTTTTTCTGTTGTAGTTTCTATTTCTATGCAATGTGTTTCTTATGACTGTTTTGGACTAAGATGTCTTCTTTTTCTTGCTAGGTTCCGAAACATTTTTGCTCCTTTCCATTTGGCACTTGTGCATACATATCTATGAGTAGCTTATATGGCTTTTTATGGTATAAATGATAGCTGCTTATAGGCATATGTCAGTGTACAGTGTAACTAAGATTTCCTGTGTGCTTTAATATATCGTAAACAATTGTACTGCAAATCTATCAAATATATCGAACTGCATTTCACTTACCTACGACTGCTAGCAATATATCAATGAGAGAACCCTGCTGTGAATAAACTCTGAATGCTGCAATGTTCTCCCCAAATGCATGGTAGTAGAAATCTAGTGAACCTTTACTAGGAGTTGGGAGATTCAGCTGAACTATAGCTCTTGCAACATCATCTTGAACAGCTGGGCTGGAGGCCTCTGTGTACAAGTAATAGCCTGAAAGAACAAGGTGAGTGATGACTAAATGAAATATGTTATTGATTATATATGTACAAATACGATGTTGCAAAAATGTGGGAATCGAACCAAGGACCTTCCTCTCCATAGACCAATGCTCTACCCCTGAGCAATAAGGGCTAGCCACTACAGCTGAGACTGTAGTAGCATCTTGTTATATATAGGGTCATTACACCATCCCCCTCCCCATGAAGAATGCACCCAGTTTTAACCCTGGATATACACATGGGCAAATCCCACTTCTGACAGACATGGGTGCCTCAGAGCCGATTCAGGTCATTATGCCTATAAAGAATATAACTTGACATTTCACTGAAAGATAGAAACACACAAAATAACACATATGAGGTAACTAGGAGCCTGAACATTTAACAATGGAATTTTAAAGGTTATGTGTGCATTTGTTCTCTTCACATGTTTGTTTTACCTGATGCATCAGTTTTTGTGTGGTCCCCCTCTGGACCAGTACCTTCAGTGCGAGTGGCTCCTTTGTGCCTTTGCCAATGGAAACCATCAATGGGCAATTGCTTGCCTGATGGGGATATATTATCAAACTTTAATCCACATGTGCCTTTTTCAAAATCACATTGGAAATCTACAAAATTGAAATACATAGTGCAATACAAAAGTTGGCATGTCCAATATTTCTTCAAATATTTTGCAATAGTTTCAAAATGATCAAATTATGTGAGTGATAATCTTTAGATGAATCATGCTGGATTCTGAAGCATTCTACATATTAGTTAAGATGCATAAAATGTATTTGGTCAATAAAGTCTTGCAGGGTGTATGGAAATATGTTTACTTGTGCCCTTGTTTTAAGAAGATTAATAAGTACATAAAAGAAGAAAGTTATGACTGTAATGTATTGCACCCTCATATAACATGGTATGTAGCTTTATATAGGTCTATTTTCAAAATCTCATGACAGTTAGAGAATGGTATAACAATTACAATTAAGTTCAGAGATGATTGGAGCAGCTCTTAAAATGAAAATGGAGATGGAACAACCTTTCGGTTACCATAATACCCACACCTTTCAGGATAGTCTATCATTTCTCAGGAATAAATGAATCATTGATCTTATAATTAATAGGCTATTAGGAAAACCTTCAAAATAAGAACACTAGACTTACTAGTAACAAGCTTTACTCCAAATATCAAAACAAACCATTGATATTGGTAGCTGTTTCTAGGCAATAACAAAAAATGATCGGCAAAATAAAATTCGACAAAAAATATTTAAGTAGTAAAACAAATAACTCACATGTTTCCAAGCTGAAATCAATCAAATTCCAAGCGTCTTCACCGAAAAACAAATATCAGCCAAGAGATCTTCGAAATTCCATGCAGATGAAAACAGAGCATGCAGTCGAATGCATTGTGTAGGTTTTAGTGTTAGTTTTACTACAACTACAAGATAGCTCATCTAAAATGAATGAGTTGAAAATAATCCAAGATGATCTAAAGTAAGCTCCTAAATGCTTGAATGAGGCCTACACCTGAACCCCAAAGCACACCTACATGTACATCTACACATACCACTACTAAAAAGGGGAATATAAACGCACAATGGGTTTAATGGGGCAATATAATGAGGCAATTATCCCAGTGTTGTTCTCCGGCTCGTGTAGAAAATCACAGGTGGTCTGGGTAGAATCGCAGCCGTTTTGGGATGGTAAGACCCGGCAGCGCGGGGTCTTCGAGGTGGGTGATGTACGGGATCTAGACCTCCACTTCGCGCCGAGACGATTGGCGCAAACGGAGGGGTTGTAGCTCTCACCGTTCGGGAGCTAGGGTCAACAGCTGCGGACCCCCCATAGGGTCAAGTTTCCAGCCATAAAAACTACAATTTTCTTGTAAGCCACTACATATATTTTCTCCATGCTAGGACACCAACAACGTAAAAAAGCGCTAAATAAAGCAAGAAACAAAATAGCTTGGATATTTTGGAATTCATTACTGTGTTCTCGTGTGCTATACGTGTTGTATCAATTCTTGTTTTATCGTGTATTTGTACAAACATATCACTTGTCACTATAATTCTAAGATATGGACAAAGTATATGCCATAAGAAATATAAAAGAAAATCCACCACCGGGTCTATGCCTATATACAATACATGTAAATATTATTGAGCAAAACAGACTAAGAACTAATAAAATACAATTTGTGAATACTTCATATAACTGCATACGTGTGGTATACTCTATGCGATTATCTGCATCATAGATTCATTAATGTGTAACTGAATAGTTTAGTTAAAACGTTTAATTTCGCAAGTCTGTCCATGCTTTGACTGAGGGCAACACAAAGGCAAGGTGTCGACATATCTTTTCACATGTGTATCGTTCATTTGAGTGTTATTGGAAAAGTCAGTCAATATATCTCTCACAGTCCTTCCTTTACTCCACTCTATGGAAAAGTATTTTGTATAATGACCGCATACGTTTGTGTCATAGCCCTGAAGAGTGACACCGACGATGGAGATGACTTTTCTCCCAGTCAAAAGAGCAAACTGTGTAATTTCAGGTTTTTAATGGCTCGCATCATGTCCAAACAAGTCCGCGAAGTATACATCCGATAGAATATCTTGCGGAGTGAGGAACAGAAGCCGGTGTGAAAGAAATGATGGTCCCCTGGGGATTATGGTCCCCTTTCTAAACGGCCCTTATTGGCCCTGATTGTGTATAAGATAATAAGGGAAAGGGTTGTATTTAGATCACCATATAAATCAATGGAGAGTAGGACCATAATTTGAGAGGACCTCCTACCCTTTCACACCGGGCATATTTGATCCTTGGCTATTTACCACGATTATTTGGCAAGAAATGACCACTATTGATCTTATGAGGGCGTGACAACATTTAAATTGAAAGGATTGCCAATATGTTAATTTTCTAAATTTTGTTAATGCTTTTTACATAAATACATGTAGTCATTTAGTTTATCACTGTCCTTGGGTTTTCTATATGATATTGAAATTGATCTGTGCCAAACATTTGATTTCTAAGATATCTAGGGAGAAATGCAAACCAAAGTTACACATGTGTAAGAGAACCATGTTTGCTTGAAAAGATTTGGTCTTGCATTAACACCCTTGGTATACGCAGCTAACGAAAATTGACCGGTACGGTTCAAAAGCTGGACCGGTACGGGTTAACGGTTTTATTTGAATTTAAAACAGCCATAACTTGCTCAATATTGACTTCCTCGTGTCTAATTTGAAATATATGATGCCTCCCGATGCTTTTAAGTACCCCAATTTTTTACAGATTTTAAAACGGACAAAACTCTCTAAATGCGCATTTATGCTCTTTTCTCTCGAGAACGACTGTCTCATTTTCACGAAAACTTTTATTTAGTACTTCTAACATATAAGATCTATTTTTCCCCATCAAGGTATGATGTAAATGACATGCTATTTACATCTTGTGAGTTTCAATGACGCGCGTTTGATTTTATAAAAAATGCCAAACTCACACTACTATACCTTGCATTAGGTGTTCATGAGCAACCCATTTGGCTTATTAGTAATGATTATGTATTTGTTTTTATTTGTCTGTTCCTTATGAATGGTTTATCGGTTGAAAATTAGATGCTAGTAAGGCACTTTCAAAAATATATTAAACAATTCAATTAGACAAACAAAGTATCTTATGCATTTCTAGGTGTTAGGTATAGTAGTGTGAAACTTTGTGACAAAGAATTTCATCCTGCTTGCAGCGAGAAGACGGACCGGTTCGGGGCAATAGCACACATGTATAAAAATTCCTAAATTATGTTCATGCTTCTCTGCCATGACTTACATGCCCAGTTCCCTGGACCCTCATAAGGTTTACCTGTCTTTCCAGGTTGCCAATCACACTATTCATGATGTCACATGGGCTTTCCCATGCGCCATTCCCGGCCGACTAGGAATTTTTTATTAGTTTCTTTGAAACATAGGATAATTTCCTATGCTAAGGGCTGATGTGAAAAAGTCAGTCCACCTCGGTAGGAATTGAACCCACAACCTACCGATTAGATCTCGGATGCTCTACCACTTGAGCTACGGAGCCGAGGTCATGGTTATACTTGTAAAAAACTTAAGAAATACTTTCTGGGCTTTACTGAAAAGTACAAGTCATTAATATCGAAATTTCAAGTTTTAACACTTGAGATGCTGAAGGATGTAGGAATGGAATAATAAATTGGCAATGAACTCACAATTTTTTCACTTGGCATCTTTTGAGGTGGATCCCGGCTATGGCATTAATGGTTGAGAAATAGGGATCGAAACCAGCCATAGTTTTCTCCTGATGACCATTGTGAATTGTTGTGTTTTATGGATTATGATGACGGCTTTGCGAACGGATGTTGACCCTTTGAATTGCCTATGGACTTCGAGACTGGAATTTATCTATCCCACATCATTTGAGACTGAATACTCTATCTTTTATGAGTACTAGTATCTACAACTATTTTTGATGTTATGTGTATTGGCTAACAATTTTTTCAATTTTTCTTAAACATGTATTGTAATGACTTCAGTATGAATGAAATGTCCCTTGGAGTTCTGGTCCTGGATTGTGATATTGGTTCTCGATTGGAGGGGGAGGGGGATGTTAGACATTGTTTCTTTTCATGTAAGATAATGGTTTTGGGATATATAGGGTCTACTTTTCTTATAACAGATTTACACTTACAGTTTTTTTTTGTTGGGTTTCTTTAAAGTTTTTAGTCACCCTTCCCTTTGGCATTTGTGCTTATATATTCTAAAATGTGACTAGGTATTCAGTCTTGGCAAAATAGCAATAAATTGTTGTCTAATAAGGCGTTATGAAATTTATATCTATTTTAACATCCTCCCTTTATTCAACCATCCGAATAGTTTAACATGTAATCAATAAGGGTATCCCATCTAAAAAAGGCCAAGTATAGCTGGAGGTTAGACCAAGCTAAGGTATATCACAGTGAACAGCAATATTGTAAGAGGTAACATCTATCTAGTATCTAGGAGAAAATATTAAGTAATTTAACCATCCTAATCGTTTTACATGTGGGTATTAGATCCACAAAGCAATCAGAAATTGACCACTGTACATTTTAAACTCGCAGGTAAGTCAATATATAGCTATCTAGAAGAAAATAATTAAGGTAAGTCATGAAATATGATAGGCAAGTAGGAAATTGAATGATGTACAAGTGTGTCAAATATCAGGGAAAAATTCACTAAGAACAACAAAGATATGAGGAAAACTTTGGGTTGCCGTTTTTTAACCACCCTGTAGATAAAATGGACGTATATAACATTTGAATTTCGAGTTTCTGATTCATACCTTTATTTGTGTTTCAGGTGGTTTAATGTAACAATTCAATGTCAATCATCGTTTACAAATCATTTATGATTTTTGATTTTTAGGTGTAGCTTCTCTTATAATTTACTAAACAATAAAATGGCTATGCATCCAGATGGGTATGGTTTTACAGCCGAAGTGAAAGATAAGGTAGGTAATTCTGATACACCCATATTGCTGACTTATACATGTTATTAGACTTGCGGTGGAATGATGGTTTATCATGATTTCTATTTGATAATATACCACAGGGTATGTATAAAACTAAGCGTGACAGTTGAATGCGCGGGGTAGGTACAACACGAGGGTGATAAAATTTGAGCAAAATGATGTTTTCATCGTTTCCGAAAGATCAGATCTAGTTTTTAGACATTTTTATATGCGAATGTCTGTAACAACATCCTAGACAATGAACTACATGTAGACCTTAAATATTATAGTTCAACCTTCACAAACTCTCAATGTAGTGTACGGTATAACATGCTGTTTATGGTAAGGTACATCACAAACAACTTGAATTTGCGTTGTACCGTATCTCAAGTAAACAGACCTTCGTTTTTTACGGTATACTACATTCGAAGTTTGTGTAGGTTTAACTATGAAATTACTGTAAAGTTCTCTGTCTAGGATGTTGTTAAAGACATTTACATAAAAAATATTTAGAAAAAATTAGAGATATTACTGAAACAATGAAAACATCAAATTCACCATCCTTGTGTTGTTACTTACCCTGCGCGTTCAACTGCCACGCTTAATTTGGTACACACCCAGTTTATACGCTCAAATCAAATTCAGCATGTTATAATTTGAATTTTGGAACTGCCATTGTTTTCCGTCATGGATGAATGTTCAAACCTGTCAGTTATGAACAATTTGAGATGGACGTATTAGGGAGGTGAAGATTAGCGTAAAATGTATGTGTACCTATCCCTATCCGTATATTTGTAACGGAGGTCAGTAACACACATACGGATAGGGATAAGTATACGTACATTTTTTGTCGAGGGGGGACGGGACTTATTTTGACACCCTGTACCTCTAGTAGTCTCATGAAATCAATAAGTTATACAAATAATTAAAAAATGGTACGATTGATCATGACTTTTTAATAACAGAGGGTTTGCTATACACCTGACGATTATTCCAAATGATGAGGCAGCATGGAAAGCCATAATGGCACTCGAGTGATAAATCATCTTTAAATTTGCAGATATCTTCGAAGTATGATCTGACTTTAGCAAGGGAAGCAGGAAACTGGATTAAATTCTTCGTTAAAGACGCAAACTGGGTAGGCGCTTCATCACTGATCAAAATCAACTGAAGCAACTGATCGAAGTTAGAACCATCCAAGATGGTGGACAAAACTAGTTTGATATCTATAATTTCAAATAGTTTGTTATGCAAACTTATAAATGTACAAACCCACACGTAACTTTATTATTTGCATGTGGAAATATTTCGAATCCAGATTTTACATGATTTAGTCATGGGCTTTCAAGAGGAGAATATTCTACTTGCTGTGTAATAAACATGAAAACTTCAAAAATAAGCATTACCATTTTGAGCATATTTTCAATGAGTAGGCCTTTTGGATAAAGGTATATGTTTCATATTAATATTATCTTTAAAACATCAATCTGAAATATAATTCAAGCATAAACTTTTATTCAGCTCAGTTAAAAGTAAACACAAATGATCAATAAGGAGATATCAACATTTTCTCATTGGGTGTTGCACTGTTGATATTTACTGTATTCAGGAATTCTTTCCAATAAAATATAAATTGCGCTAGACTTTCATTATTGCCATAATAATGATAAATTCCATTTTGTATATATAATGATGTTTTTATTTTTGACTCTTCTCTTGAAAGTCCATGCTTTAGTTGAAATAATATAGCAGGTTTAAGGATTTAAGCCCTGGACTCAGTGCAATGTGGAATGACCCATTCCTTGAAGATGTTGCTCTCCAAAATTTGCACGAGATGCAGAGCATCGAATGTTAATTTTAGGAAGCAACGTCTGAAATGAATGGTAACACAATGCATCGAGTCTTGGGCTTAAATTCACACATTGCAAAATGTCACTTAAAAGATACGAAATCACTAAAATAACATATTTTCAATGAAACTTTTTGCAAGGGTCAAGTTGGCAAACCATCAATTATAATATGTTGAGTGTCACATTTGCCAATGAATCAAATACAGGCCTCCTAGACTTCCACAAGCGCGAACATAAGTTCTGACATCGCGAACCATGATTCTCACATTGCGAACGTGAAATCTGTACTCGCGAACCACCATTTCCTCGCTCCCTAAGATATTTCTTCAATTGCGAACAGAGATTCGACATCGCAAACCACACTCCTGATCGAAAAAAGTCTGTAATTGCATTAGTATTACTACGCATAACTAAAATTCCAAGGACGTGTTTTTATTTGGAATTCGGAAGAGATACTTTCCCGGTTTTTCATGCTGGTTAATGAATATCCACTTATTGCATATAGTTAGCATTTTCAAGTTTCAAGAAACAAAAAAATATTGGGACTACTTTGCGATCCCGCACCTTGATATTTTCAGAGAAAGGGCTGGGTAATAAAAAAAAAAAAATTTACAGTATGAATCATAAGACTTATTTTGATTTGTTTTAATCCCGGGTTTTTAATTTCTTCTTGAATTTTAAAACATCTGTTCGAATCATATCTGCTATAAAATTAAAGTTCAAATATACCTCAGAAATGCTAAAGCATTCAATTTGAAAATAATTCTATACATAGGTGATATATGTATGTGTTGAAATTAAAAAATAGTTTTTCAAAATAAATTAATGACAAACTTTCGACTAACTAAATTGCATTTCATTTCATTGTTTCACTCCGTGGACCATTGACATTGTCCGACATCTTGGCATATAACTTGGAATCCCAAACACCCGGAGGCACTATGTTCAAATTGTTTGCGATGTCGGATCTCTGTGCGCGAGTGAAGAAATATGTTTGGGAGGAAATGGTGGTTTGCGAGGTAAGATTTCCTGTTCACGATGTGAGAATTGTGGTTTGCGATGTCAGAACGATGTTCGCGCTTGTGGAAGTCTTGGAGGCCTGAAATAACTCTTGAATCAAAATGCTTTTTCAGAAAGGGGACGATGAGGAAAGTGTCCATGAAACATTGAAAGATGGTATCATTTTATGCAAGTATGTGTTTAGATACTTATACAGGGTGGCCCAATAAAAACGGGACACACTCATTTCAGTTTAAAGTGTGTATACGCAAAATATTTGTAGATATATACCATATAATTTTAAGTCAAAATGATTTATTGTCTTTTGTTTGACACAAGACATGTGCTGCCAAAACAGCTATTGAAATTGTAAAGAATTTATGAATTTAGAACTTTAGGTAAAATTCTTTGTTTTTCACTATTTTTGACATTATATTTCTCAATAGTATAGTTTCCATATAGCTTTTGAAATCTCGCTAAATCTCGTTTTTCGTGAGATTTTAAGAGACTTGCATATTAGACCTCTAATGACTTACATTACCTTCTTTTAAATGGTATATTTGAATTCAGTGGAATGTTTTCTCCTAAAATAGCTTTGATTTACACAGTTATGTAATTTGAATAATTTTCTATGACAATTTAAAAAAAGTTGGGCCAAATGTCCATAGATGCAATGCTAAAATTCTTTAAAATCGTGGATTATTTGTATGTCAATCAACATTAGCATGTTTAATCACAACATGTTCATAAACAGGGTCATCATGTGGTATATCATTCAAGTTTTATACAGATTCAACAAACACACTTTGATAAATCATGAAATTAAGCCACTTTTCCAAGATTTTAGCATGTAAGTGAATGGAGCTCTAGCCAGAGTTAAAAGCTGAATAAAAGATGGCAGCACGAGATTTCATTGATTTTTCTGCTATTTAGAAACTATCCTATTGTCACCAGCATATTATTGTTATCAGTACCCTAAGCAGTCTTCTGTATATTTAAAGGGACCCAACACCATGGTCACATGATCAGTCGTGTGGAGGTAAGCTCCCAGTTGAAATAAAATCACTGTCCTCCTTTGGTTTCTGTGAAAAGTAGCTAATACCCTCATGTATTGGTCAGTTTGTGTGTCACACGACTAATCCCCACCATATGCTTCATTCAACATATTTTATGCTATTGAGCTGCATATATAAACAGTACTTTGCAACTAAGGTCATACAGTATACTTACCCCTTGCAAATTGTAATTTATTGAATTTACAGTAAACCCATCAATTTTTAAGAAAACAAAGAATATTGTTCTCATGGATCTATTATTTATGTTAGACTAACTATGAAAATATAAATATGAAATAATATGTTAGCTTGAAGTCATATATAAGATGAAAATATATGTTCATGCATTTGCATTTTTCCAAAGGGAATATTCCCATGTAAGTAAATACAGGTGCAATATATAATTTATATGTATATCTATGTCATCTGTCTATACATGCGCGTATAGCCTAGTGTTACATGTGAACAAGATGGTTCTGGAAAGAAATGAGCGTGGCAGATTTGCTAAAATGCCACATACACCACAAAAGCAAGACCAATTTGAAAGTAAGTTCATTATTCTCAAGGGTACACTTCAAGTGAAAGCTACATTGCTACAGGGTGGCCTATCATTCTGAGATAAATGTATTATCCAACGATTGTGATTTTCGAAGCTAAAATATGATATCTTGAGCAGATGGAAATACATTCCCATGAGATATTCAATATAGTCAAAAGTGATAACTATTTATTGAGTGTAATGAAATGTATCCTTCGCTAACTGCTTTTGTTTGAGATAATTATCATGAAATGTTTTTAAATCAATTTTTATGTGTGTCATTGATCCTGATCCAACCTGTAGTCTGGTGTTTGTAGAGCATTGCGACTCGTACAACTTATTCTCACAAATATCAAACCTCATTTACTAATTAATTTTTTGTGTGAATATGAAGAGTCCAAGCATTGCTTTTTTATGTTTATTGTATAGCTATATTTAGCCTTGATATCCATGATTTTTTAAAACAAAATCTCACCGTTAGATTTCGGGCTATTCATGTTTACTCATTTGTCTAATTGGAAAACAATGCAAATCTCATTTTTTCAAAGGAAAAAAATTGAAATTCTAAGACGGTGAAAAATCATTAAAAAATACACAGATTCAGAATCCGGCAAGCATTTTCCCCTATTCCTCTCCGTTAAGAAGTTTTGCAAGGTGTTGGATTCCTTTAAAACAATATTTTATCAATAATATTGTGACTTTTTAAATGATCCTGATTTACCCAAGGAACCGTAAGAATTTTGGAAAATGGTTCTGCGCTAAAATGTGACTAGGTTATGACGACTATGGCTTGTTACACATTAGGTTAATTAAAATACCTTGAGGATTAAATATGCATAAATAGTAGCTTAAGTCTAAGGATGACTAAAAAATGTCAATAATGGACTTTTTACAGATTATTATTGCTGATAAAAGGGTAGACACATTTCATAGACTTGATTAATTATCCCTATCAGGCCCCATAATTTTCTTTTACCCAAAGAGGGATAATTATTATTCTAAAAGTCTAAATAGGGATAAATAGACATACAGATTTCTTTCTGTTATTTTGTGAAACTTTTTCAGCATTAAAGATATATGAATATATATCTCATTAAGGCCATAACTTCCCCATCTTTTGGTATGCTACAAATATGATCTGTTTGAACTTCAATATTTTAAGAATGATGCTGTGTCACATTTTTATGGCCATCTTTGTATATATAATTTCTTTTTATCTAATAACAACTGTAACATATAACTTCAATATATCGTGGATTTTGTCCTCCTCCGATCACAGGGTTTCAAGATCCAAAATATCTTGTTATGGATTCTGGACACCTGCTTAGGAGGATGGGATTTTGCTCGTAAGAGTTATCTGCAAGGCGAGACAGTTATATGTGTCGCTTTTCATTTTGAAAACTGCTTCCGATTGCATAATTAAAGGTTGGTTTTTCTTTATACGGTTTTATCAGTTTTTCATAAGTGTCTTAATTTTAACTTGTTGTTATAGTATTTGTTCCCCTGGTCTTTTATTTGTGTGTTTCCTTTTCTCTCTCCATTCTTTCGGAATACACTGGATTAGTCCATACCATTGCAAAAAATCGAGTTATGCAGGCTGTATCTTTCCTTGAGTACTGCATGTTGTATAATAGACTAGATGCGAGTAGAAAAAATCTTGATTTACACCATTAAATATTCAAAATTCAGTCAAAGCGATGTTATATTTGAAATCTACATGTAAAAGTACATCTAGAAATATGGTTTCGAAAATTGTTTATCAAGTTTGAAAATTTTATTATTTTTGAATGTGTGACTTCTAGTTCGGGTTGATTCTCCATAGAGCCCATGTTACGAAATCACAAAAAGTGGATTATCTTTTCTTGTATGGTCAGATAACATTTTCTTTTACTGGACATATTTTGATTTGCATAACTAATAGATATATAAGGGTTATATGAAAATTGAACCACTAAAACAGATGTAATTTAAGTTAAAGGGAACTTTCTACTATACCCGCCATGCTATCTGACCCGAACGAGCCACCTGGTGGTGAAACTGGTAACTACCTACTCGCATCTGCGTTATTGTATTTTCTCCATACAGTTGTTTTAAATGTATTATTCCTTGGTTTATCCATTCATCTAAATTGTTTGCCAAGAATACACGAGCTGTTCCAAATGTGTTGTTCTTGGGGTGCTTCAATTTCATCCTTTCCTTTGGAGTGCAGTTGTCACCATATGTTGTATATTTCTCGCAGCGAAGATCATTTTACATTTGATTTCAATGAGTTATTCAGACTTTTCAAATTAAAGGAGAACCCCCGATAAGGAGAGCTTTTAAGAAGGACATTGCTTTTTTATTATTCTGGATGTGATCATCATGGAAGTTTAACACTACATCAGAGATGATCTTAGATATTAGGTGATCTTAGATATTCCCATGGGCTTTCAACTAGAAGGGTAGGCAACTTCCCATATTTCATACATAAGCAATGCCTTCAGGTTTTCAAAACTGGAGAATGTACACATTGCAAGAAAATCTTATTTTGTCCTTTTTATGGATGATTTAAAGAAATAACTTATAAATAAAAACATGATTATCTCCATACATGTTGATAACAGAAAGTGAACATTCTCCCACAAATTATATTGTTATTGGAATGTGTTCTTGAATAATTACACACAATGTAATACTCGTAGAGAACATCCTGATACCTCTTATTGTTATTGGGTCTTTTTTGTTTACCTTTACATGATAATGAATACATTTTATGTTATAATCATATTGAAAATTGATTTTTATTCAAAATAATACTAAAACATATACATTTATCTAATACTTTTTGAAGTATTACCATAAAAGGGGAGCATGGCATTGCTCATTTTGAAGGTCTCATGTTATTACACAGAGTTGCATACCCTTCTAATTGAAAGCCCAAAATATTTCCAAAAACAACTTGTGTGATATAAAAATTGCTTTTGAAGAACATTTTTTGCAAGGCAATGAACTTGTTTTTTAAGGTTAGACTCTTTATTTGTGGTTAAAATCTGTGTATGGCCTGATGGGATAGGAACAAGGTGTCACAGTTGTAAGATACCCATTTATCTGAACTCTTAGAAAATAAAAAGAAATCAATGGGCGTTTCCCTAGAAATATGTTTTTGAGACCTTCTCCACTCATGGGAATCAACGAATAATGGAACCAATTCGTAAAAAATTCTTAAAATATATATCTGGTGGAGCGCTTGTCGATTTCTTTACGAAACCTAAGACTTTGCTTCATTATGTTACTTCTATTTTGCTCGTACAGTAATGGGAAAGTAATTGATTTTAAGCAAAATGTTACGGTTAAACATGGAAAATTGAATTTTATCGCTTCACAAAAACCGTTCTTCAAATGCACGTTTTAATAATTTGAAGAAAATATTTCAGGATGTATAAATTCACCTCATTTCTAAAAGTATGTTAAAATTTCATGATAATCACTTCAGAATAAAATAGTTGTGTCCTTCTAAAAAGCTCTCCTTATCGGGGGTTCTCCTTTCCATATAAGTGGTCCAGCATCCAGTAGTCCTTCCTTTCAGAGTACTTTCCACTTACTTTTGATTTTATCATCGAATATTTTTTTGATCCATTTAATTTTTAGATTCTTTTCTAATGATTCAATATGTGCTACTTTAAGCCCTCTACTCTTTTCATCTTCTCTTAGTATTTTCCTAGCTATTTTTCAGGCTTATCATTCCATTTAAATTTGTAAATTATTCTTTCAATTTCTTTGAATTTATCCTCGTTTGGTTCAGGTAGTATTGACATCATATATGTTAGTTGTGATGTAACTGATGACTTAATTACGTCTACTTTTTCCATTGTAGTCAATTGTCTCTATTTCCATATTTGTGCTAGAACAGTAATTATATTAATTGGTTTGCAATAGTCTATTTCTTCAATTGATCTCTCATCTAGTGGGATTGTAATACCTAGCAGATGTAATTCTTTCTCCTCTAGTATTAATCCTTTTTCCTGACATTCCCTCTCGCATTTTCTATGAATCCATTATCCCCTTTTCCAATTGCTGCAACTACTGTCTTCTCCTTGTTCACTTTTAAAAATTATATTGTCTCAAATTGTGAGAATAATTCCAAAGCCTCTTTTACGTATTCTGATTCCTTTAGGAATAAGCAAGTGTCGTCAGTATATTGCAATATTATTAATTTGTCTTGAGTTGGTTATTTTATCCCCTCAATCTTTTGCATTGCCTGGTGGCATTACTTAAAATTTTAGCGCAGATGGTAAATACACAAGGACTTAATAGGCATCCTTGTCTGACTCCCCTCTCCGGTGCAAAGTATGTTGAAGTGTATACATTAATCAATATGGTGCAATTTATTTCTGAGTAGAATGTTTCAATCCAATAGATTAAGTCTGTTCCAAAATTAGAATATTTGAGAGTCTTTATAATGAAGCTCCATTCAATGGAGTCAAATGCTTTTTGAAAGTCTATACATGCTATTATTCCATTCATGTTCTTTTGGTTTAAGTATTGCATTATATCTACTGTTAGTCTAATATTTTCTCCAATAAATCTATTTGCTACAAAATCTATTTGATCTTCATGGATTAGATTTAAGAGTACTTTCTTAATCCTCTCAGCTATTACTTTTGCCATCACTTTATAGTCATTATCTAATAATGCTATAGGTCCCCAGTTCTTGAGTTTATTTCTGTTCTTTCCTCTTTTGGAATCATTGTTATAATTCCTCGTTTCTGTTCAGTTGTCATATTTTTGTATTTTTGCAAGTAGTTAAAGCTCTTTACCAATCAGATCGACTATGTCACCTACAAAGTGTAAAATTCAGGTGTTTTGTTTTACTTAATCTTTTTATTTGCTTCCTACCCCATTTTATTGTTATTGCCTCTTCACAATTCTGCATTTCCTCTTCTTTAAGCTTTTTTCTGTTTCCAGGAAGAATGTGTCTTCGTACTTGTGTATGTCTGGTTTACTTGTCTGGTATAACTTTATGTAAAATGCAGTTGCTTCATTGTTGATTTGTTGCTGAACTTTTATTTGCTCTCCCTTTTCATTTTCTAATGGGGTCAGAGTTTTATTTATATAATTGCTTTCTTTTTTTCTAGCTTTAAAAATATGAAGATGGCTTCTCTCCCTCTTCTGTCCATTGCAACCTACTTCTGAATATTGCTCCTTTGGCTTTTTCTTCCTGGATAAGGTCTATTTGATTTCTGATATATGTTGCTCTTGCTGTTGTTTCTGCTGCTCATTTCATGTCACATTGTTTAGTTGATGCAGGTTATAAATTTTATAACGTTAATGGTATACATATAATATCATATTCTGGATGTTATCGTTGCCATTTTATAACCATGTATTACATTTTAATTAAAGACTCATAAACGCATTACAACCTGGAAGTGTGAAGACAATCAACAGTAGTAAAATGGCCTTTCAACAAATGGAAAATATTGGCAACTTCATTTCTGGATCTACGAAATACGGGGTATGTTAAACATACAATATCACAGGTTGCCTTTGAAAGATCTGTCCAGCTTGGATGAGCAAGCTATTTTTCATAAAAACACTAAAAACATTCATTAATTATCGCCAGAGTATTATACTCTTCAATATGTACCATTTCTGTTTTAACTTTTTAATCAATTCAATTCAATTCAATTTCAAAATAATTTATTTCATTTTTCATTACAAATTTACAACATTATACAGGCTTTGACACCCTAGGGGGTGTATGACTGCCCATAATAATATGAACAACTGTGAGCATTCAAAGTGGTACATACATCTTTACAATAATATAATATAAATACAATATACAAATACAATAATATGAGACATTAAAGAAATACAATAAAATGTTTTGCTTATTCTGTACTCAGGAGGTCAATCTTCAAAAGAGAGATGAGTGAATTTAATGGTTCATTTCCAAAATCTTAAAGGAATATTCCTTGCCAAACCATCTCTCTCCTCATATGGTAGCTATAACCATATATATGCTTGCCATGTTTAGCAAAACACGCAAACATGTTTTGATATGGTCAAATTTGATCACTTAGAAATGTGATGCTCAATTCCAGTAAGCTGCCATCTTTTAAAATTTCACACAGGAAGTGATGTCATCGACTCTCAACTTTGCATATAGCATTAGATGAGGAGCTATTAAAAATTACAAAACCAGCTAAATATTCTTTTTCAACTTTGTATCTTATTTAATCCTTCTGAAAATCTCTTCTTTTATTCTAAGTTGACAAGCTCTGAAAATATTTTTGCACAGAAAGTAATGATCACTTGTCAAGAAGTGATTTTGTGCTACTTTCCTATACTGTTATGGGCAAGGTTATAGAAGTTGAGAGTTGATGACATCACTTCCTGCAAGAAATCTTAAAAGATGGCAGCTCACTGGAAATAAGCACTACATTTTTAAATGATCAATATTGACCATTTTCCCATGTTTTGCTAAATGTGGAAACTATATATGATTATAGCTACCATATCAAGAGAGAAAGGGTCTGGCAAGGAATATTCCTTTAATGGAATTCCATATATATGAACCATGGACCTTAATAGAATTTTCACCAATTCTGGTTCTATGTTTAGGAATATCTAAGTTATGACTATATCTTGTTATAACGTTGATGTTTATTTGCTATAGTTTTAAAATAGTTATCGTATAATTTTGAAGGGAACTGTATAGGTTTGCTTATAACTTTTTTCATGAAAGAAACAGTTTGGATTGTGTGAATATGATAAATATTAAGTATTTTAAGATTTTGAAAAATTTGGAATCACATTTGGATGTGAGCTAATCTATCTGAATTTGTTATTGATCTAACAAATTTCTTTTGCAATATCAGTAGTTTATTTAATAGATTCTTACAAGCATTTCCCCATCCATAAAATATTACAGTAATTAAGATGAGAAAAAATCAGAGAGTTATATATTATCACCTATGATTTTAAAGTATGAGCATTATTTGTTGGATATAACATTCCTATAACATTTGAAATTTTTCTATGAAGAGAATTGATATGGGGAGCCCAAAATAATTTTGAATCAATAATTACTCCCAGGAATCCTATCTCATCTACTAATTCTTGGTTAGGATTTGCAATTTTTTATTTCATTGTTCACAGAATATTTCTTTTATTTCCAAATACCATATATTTGGTTTTCTTAACATTTAAAGTGAGTTTATTGGCCAACAACCAATCATTGATGTCACACAGATCAAAATTTACTGTTGTGGTCAAATTATCAAGATTGGAATCATTACATAGTATATTAGTATCATCCACATAAATCACCAGTTTGAGTTTATCAGAAACTAAATAGAAATCATTTACAAATATGATAAATAAGAGGGGGCCTAGAACAGACCCTTGGGGTACTCCACAGCTGACAATGGCTTCTTCAGACAAATATTTCTCAGATAAACTTTTAGAGTATTCAGTTTTCATTTTTCGATTTGATAAATAAGATGAAAACCATGAAAGTGCAATTCCTCTTCTACCACAATGTTCCATTTTTCAGTAATATTGCATGATGAACAGTATCAAAAGCTATATATAGTAATATATAGTAATGTATAATGTGCAGCAAAGCTGTGGCCTTTTGTAATTTAGGGAGTTTTAGCCATGTTAATTTTTCCGAAAAAATAACATGGCAGAGAAGTATCAAAATATAAGAGGACACAGATATGATAGCTAAACTACAAAACAAACTAAAATATACAAAAGTTAGGATAAATATAAATGTTTCTATTTTTACATAAACTGTTTCAATTTGGTCATTTGATTGCTTATTTTTTAAATTCAAAGTACTCACAAACATTTAAAATTTTACTATAATTTCATTTTTTTCTTTTAATGAAGCTTTTCTGCATTCCTGATAATATGATTTTTATAATTAATGTGAGTGAGTTTGAGACGATGGCATGATATAGGGAAATGATAATATTTAATACATGTTTTCAGCGTAACTCTGAAGATATTAATGAGATTTAGATTGGGTTCTTTTTAATTTTATGAAATGTAATGTTAAATTTTTGTCCATCTTGGGGGAGCAGTTTTTTACAATATTTTATGGTTACCATTTTATTACATTTGGGAAAATTTAAACGTTTTCTACATGTGTCACAAAAATAGACGCTGGCCGGATCATATCATGTAATGCTCATGAAAGTGCATATAGCTGAGCTAGTCATCTGAAACTTGTAGAGTTGCTCTGTGGAGTAAAGTTTTAATGTGCCAAAGAAAAGTCAGAAATCATGCAGACAAAAAGGTTATGCATCATGATGTGGGTGGCACTTTTTGTGTCATCCTGTATATCGCAATGTTCCGATGGGCTTCATCAGCAGCCTGTATGCCTATACTTTGTTCAATTTTATTGCAGGTGAAAAAAGAATATTGGTTTGCAACTGTGGATTTGTATGAAGCTGAGAATATGGCTCAAGTTGTACTATGCTTGCATGCATTAGCTAGAAAGGTAAGTGCCAGCTAGGCCCTCATGTAAAATTGCAACTAAAGCAAAAGTGATCTTACAACAATGAGTGTTTCTACCTATGAAAGTTTAGAACTGATTAGTTTTTCGGCATTCTGGGTAAATGTTAAGGTGGCCATTTTTGATTTTCCGTCCTAAAATCTTGTCTGTCAAGGCTTTTCTACAGGTTTCAAGCCAAACCATTTGAGGGATTCATTTGAAATTATCAGGGATGTTTCCACCTATTAAATTACATTGTGCCCCATATTAAATTACATTGAGCCCCATGTTAACTTATCAATCTTCAAAAGACCCCCTACAGAACAGTTCTAGAGTAATGAAGCTCATATTCCTAGAATGTTACAATAACATGATTATCTTTAAAATAAGAGGGGTTAAATTTTTCTTTTGCCTAGTTCCAAAGATATTGGTGTTTGAAATTTAGAAATTCCCCATTGGCTGCCATTATAAACCGCTATAATCAATATGGCTTCACTAAAGTGCTTTCTCAAAAATTCTACTGTGAAATTTTCTAATATTGTAGATTTCTATAGTTAATGTATTGACTTAAAGAAAATCAAACAGGTACATTTCTAAAAAAAAACCTTATTTTTGATATATTTAGCCATTAAGGTACACGAAACTATAAAAAAACTATATTGAGCCCCATGTTAATAATTTATCAATCTTCAAAAGACCTCTACAGTATCTGTAAAATATTTTTAAAAAGCACCTGCGCTTTTGGTTGTAGGGTAGGTTAATGCTAAACGGGATATTTGTTTACCATACAATCAAATATCATACAAACTACATGTACATTAGATTTGCTCAGCATTTCATAACTTTCATACTTGAGGTAATGACAACGAAGTGCTGAAGAAGTCATATAGGTGTGGCATTTTTAAGTCAAAGATTTGTCCTTATTTTATATTGAAATTTGACATTTAACAAGTCTCACTATGTTTAGTAACATTCTACATTCCTGAGACTGGAAGTCTTCCCCTTTAAGAAATTTTGCCTGAGAAAAATGTCAGACTTGTCCGCATTTCCCCTTCTAATGATAACTTCAAACCCTAGGACACATACTCACATAGTCATTTTAACCCTTGTTTGTTCAACTATTATGAAACTTTTAAATTTTAAATCTTAAAGATGGGATTCGAATTATGGAAGCTAAGTTTGCTTAATGTTCATTTTGGTAATGATAATATTAATTCTACTTTTTAGGCTGCGTCGAAAGGTGAAAGGGGTATCAGGCCCAAGGAGTCGGAGTAAAATAAACGAAACTTCAGTGATGAACAGCAGCTTCGTACTGACGAGGGTGTAATTGAGTTACAAATGGGGACCAATAAATTCGCAAACCAATCAGGGCAGAATTTCGGAAAAACAAGAGACATCCTAGATTAGACAATAATCCAAATATCAGTATCAGATACATTCAAGAAATAATTCCATATTCACAGTACGGGGTAGCTATTCTTCTGGAAACCTCTGTAAAGTAAAAATAAATGTTCAAAAATGTGAACTTGTATGTCCTGTTGGTGTATTAGGGGAGGTGCTGTTAAAACTACACATCAAGATTACATGCAAGCAATCTTGCTGAAACATTGTGATTTTTTATTTGAAAATTTCACAGAATATGTAAAATGAATTCAGCAACTAGATAATGGCAACTCCGCGGAGTAGCAAATCCCAACGAACAAAATATCAATTACTGAATTCCAATCAATTATACTTATTACTTTGGTTAAAATTGAAAAATTTAGATTTTAGAATTGCGAATTCCTGCAAAGCAGCCATTTTGAATTTTCTGAGGTACAAATCTGAAAAATAATACAGTGTATTGTGATCTACTCCAAGATTCCTTCAATTTGAGTAACATATAGCCATCCATTGAAGGGATCGAAAAGTTATTGCGAAATCGTACATTAGACGGCCATTTTGAATTTTACGAGGCTCGAATCAGAAAAAAGATACAATATTTGCAATCTACTCTTAATTGCCTTTCATTTGAGTATAATAAAGCTATACTTCAGAAAGATCTAAAAATTTCTGTTTTCCTGACCCCCGATACACGGGCCCCTGGGGGTCAGGATGAAAAACATGGAATATATGTGAAATACATAGATGTTGCGAATACAATACCAAAATTTCAAACAATAATATTAATTGCTTTGGTTTAGAATGAAAAATTTATGATTTTTGCGAAAAAGTCCCGTCATTTTTAAAGCGGCGGCCATCTTGAAAAAATCCATTTTGAATTTTCTGAGGTACAAATCTGACAAATAATACCATAATTGTGATCTACTCCAAAATTCCTTCAATTTGAGTATTATATAGCCATACTTTGAAGGGATCGAAAAATTATTGCGAAATCGTACATTAGACGGCCATTTTGAATTTTACGAGGCTCGAATCAGAAAAAAGATACAATATTTGCAATCTACCCTTAATTGCCTTTCATTTGAGTATAATAAAGCTATCCTTCAGAAAGATCTAAAAACTAGCGAAAATTTCTGTTTTCCTGACCCCCATTCACGGCCCCTGGGGGTTAGGATGAAAAACACAGAATATATGTGAAATAGATAGATGTTGCGAATATACTACCAAAATTTCAAACAATAATATTAATTACTTTGGTTTAGAATGAAAAATTTATGATTTTTACGAAAAAGTCCCGTCATTTTTAAAGCGGTGGCCATCTTGAAAAATTTTTTTTGCGTAAATCTTTTCATCAATATACATCTTTCCACCAAATATGAAGAAAATCAGTCAACTAATATTTGAGTTATCTTCCGGACGGACGGACGGACTGACTGACTGACTGACTGACTGACTGACTGACTGACTGACGGACGGACGGACGGACGGACGGACGGACGGACGGACGGACGGAGGGCTTCACTATACATACCAATCCATAATTAAGCATACATTGAGATAGAATAATGTTTAAAAAATGTTAAAGATTTAACTCTTTAAAGACTGGGTCAGGACCCACGAACGTGGGTACGAGGGTACGTGGGTAGGAGGTTTTTTATACAAAGCCCATAAAATGTTGATTAGTCAATCTATATATATGGTTCTGAGATGCTTCCTGCATAAGGGTTGGCCTTATAGTCCTAGTAAGTATCACGCGCAGATAATAGAGTTTCACAAGCTTAAAACTCTTAATGAAATGATAAAAAATATACCGCTGAAAATGCCAAAATAACTTTTGCTAAATAATGCAAAGTGTTAGATAGGGAATTTTGATTTGCAATGATAAATAAAGAGTTTTAAGCCATGCTTACCAGACTAAACTCTAAATTATAGTCTTTTTAAAATCCTTATTCAGAACGACATCATTACTTTTGTAACAATAAAAAAACAACTACTTTTTGCTGCATTTAAGATGCTGTCATGCCAGAAAAAAGAAATGAGTAAAGTGTATCAAAATTTATACCAAATACTTATTAGGATAAACATTCTGTATTTTTCAGTGAAGATATCTTACTTTTGCTCATTTATTCCTTCATTAATGTTTAATATAAATGTGCAAAACGGAAATCTGGTTGACTCGTGATCGCTGTACAAACAGTATAATAGGCCTGCACTATCACGGTGTATAACCCAAACGCTCCTACATGCACGACGGAGCGTTTCATTACTGAAATAAAACAAAGAAACGCTCCGGAGTAGGAAAACTGACTGGCGGGAATGATGAACCGTCTGACGATTTCCCGAATAATGGGAATAAGAGGTATGAGTTACATATTTCGAGTATACCATTCGATGGGTGTGATATTCATGTTGTACTTGGCTGGCTGTTGACGTTTGAAGCAATTAGGAAGAGCTGTACGAAGCAGTATAGTTATCAAAATTCAAAAACGTATTTGTCATTCTACCGGTCAAAACCCCTTTTGTCGAGACATGTGATTAGTTGAGCTAAGATTAGAGCACCAACGTATAGTTTAGTCAAATTCCAATGCTTCAACGTACCATACATTATCGTAATAGTGATTTGATGACCAAAAATCCAGTCTTAAAAATGATGACATTCTCATATTCAAGAAACGCTCCGATCTGGTTAACACAGTGAACTGGAAACGCTCCGGTAGTCTAGATCAGTTTAGGAAATATATAGCTTGCCTTTTCTTTTCAGGAAGAGAAAGAAAAGATATATTATACCCCTTGGCATCAATAGAAGAAAGATTAATTCACATATAAATTTTCGTTTTTTCTATAGTTTTATGATTTAGCACATATGTAGGCATGACATCATCTAATGTAGGCTTAAATCAGCTAGTTGCACGTTTAGCACCACCAGGTTCACATGTTTCAATTTGCCTAACAAGTACAACACGTTTTTGAGACATCGGTTCGATTCGAAACTCTTCTCTAATAATCTGAAAATTGTAAATTTCTAAAATTGTGTTCTAAATCGACGGAGCGTTTCGAGGAAAACAAGCGATTTCTCGGGAACAAGTAATGGATTTGGACTGGGATTTTAGGAAATGAGAATATACTAGTTTGTGATCTACTACTTTAACAGAAAGATTAACGTTTTCATAGAAATACTAGTTTAATTCATAATTTGTGGTCAAATCGTCATCTTCAGATTTCATCTTCATCTTTGATCAAGCAAATAACAGTTTACCACCAGAAGTTGAATAAATCAGATCTTTGCTCACGGTATTGTTCATCGAATGGTACATAATATTTCACCATAACATATGATATGTAAGAGAAACGAGAGGAACAATACTTACGGTCATAGTGGAATCTTCATTAGCCGCCATTTTATTTCGCTCCGGAGCGTTTCCGCGTAAATGAAACGCTCCGTCGTGCATGTAGGAGCGTTTGGGTTATACACCGTGACTATTAAAATGTCAAATATACGCCCTGTATTAAAAATAAACCAATTTTCTTTGAATCATGGATCAAAAGTGGAATTATATACATAAAAGACTTGATAATTCAGAACAGGTTCCTTGATGTTAATATGTTATATCAAAAACTTGTAAATAAACAAAATTGGATATCTGAATATTACAGAGTTTTATCAGCCACGGGCACACTGAAAGAAAGATTCAATTTAGAATCTGTCAAGTATACAAATATTCATAATACTTTTAAATTTAATATAAATAATGTGATTATCACAGTGAATAATCAGAAATCCAAATTCTTTTATGAAATATTAAAAAACAAACGATCGGAAAAATGGTTTATGAAAAGGAAATGGGAACAAGAGTTTTGCTATGAAGCCAATGATGAAATAAATTGGCAAAACTTTTTCTCTACAAAAATAAGTTGTAAAGAAAAGAAAATAGGTAATTTCAACTTTAAAATAATCAACAATATTCTTCCTAGCCTTAGTGATTTATATATATTTGGTAAAAGTGAAACCTACAAATGTAGTTTATGTAATGAATTATGTACCTTGAAACATTTGTTATTTTCATGCTCATATTCTCAAAACATTTGGAAACATATTTATAATATCTCAGGGTTAAGAGTAACTTACAGAAAATTGATAATTGGTTACGATGGAAATGACAATCATACTGAATTTTTAAACTATTTTATAAGTTCTATGTAAGTTCATCTCTCTGGTCAATATATCAGAAACAAGTCAAATTCTTTACTTCAGAGAATACTATGTTATAATTATGTATGTATTATGTATACATGCTGTTATATTTTGAAAAAGACTAAGGGATATTAGTCGAAAGTCTCAATAAATTAAAAAATATTCTCTGAAGTAAAGAATTTGACTTGTTTCTGATATTTTATAAGTATTGTGTCATTTGTTATATATAAAACATATATTCAAGAACTGAATAATGGTATTATACGGAAAGCGATAGGGGACATGCGCATAATTCAAAATCGAATGGAGTTTTAACATGGGAGTGATATCACACACCGCGGCCCAGTCAGATAGATTTCATCGCGCACTGAATGAATTACAGGGGCCGCGTTGTGCAAAGTTAATTAAAATAAAGTGCGCAGAAATTCCGGCATTCAGTGCGCGATGAAAAAATGATTATCTGTGAATAAAAAACGAATAAAAATTCGTGGCACCACGAATTTGATTTTTTTCGAAAGACTGCGGAGTGAACCAGCGAAATGACAATTTTGGATAATATTGATGGCTCTAACGAAGAAAACTTTGAGATTTCCCGATTCTAGCGCGCAGCACATCCAGGACATGCGCACTTTTATCAGATTCGATTCTAATATGGTTTCAAAGATAATGTTCATTAAAAGAGGGCGTATGCATACAGATTACACGTGGCGTTATGTTGAAGTGACCCTTGCAAAGGGTTCCATTGAAAATATATTATTTTGGGCCATTTCATATCTTTTAATTGATATTGTATAAAATATTTTCAATGTTTGAAAATTATAATCTTATAAATAACATTTTATGTAATAAAACTGTAACGAAATGGTAAATACAGAATATGATGCAATACAAAGCAGTGCAATATGATGTTATACAATGCAGTGCAATATGATGCAATACAATGTGGTGCA